CAACAGTTAACGGGCAGAACTGTAGACTTGGCCCAGTTGACAGAGTAGTCAGAAAGTGCTGAGAAATCGTTTATCAGTGTGAACATACGGCTGACAGAAGCGTGTGAATTTTGGAGGAAAAGTAGCACATCATCGGCATAGAGGCTGATTTTATGCTCATTGTCTTTGGTTTGAATTCCCTTGATATTTGTGTCTTGTCTGATAGATGCTGCTAGAGGTTCTATAAAAATGGCAAATAGTGATGGGGAAAGTGGGCAGCCCTGTCTGGTACCCCTCTGCAGACTAAAGCTTGGAGAGGTTTGATCATTAGTCTTTACACATGCATTGGGAGAACTATATAGTATCTTTATCCAGTCTATAAAGCTAGATCCAAACCCAAATTTGCTTAGTGTTGCAAATAAGAATTTCCAGTTGACTCGATCAAATGCTTTTTCTGCATCCAACGAGAAAATTGTGGTTCCTAAGTTGTTGATGGTAGAAAGATCTATGATATTTATTAACCTGCGCATGTTAGTGGATGACTGTCTACCTTTTATAAAACCTGTCTGATCGGGATGTATTATAAAGGGAGTAACTTTTTCCAGTCTACTAGCAAGGGCTTTACAAATTATTTTTACGTCTACGTTTATTAATGATATTGGGCGGTAACTGGATGGAAGAACAGGATCTTTGCCTTGTTTATGCAGAAGAATAATATTGGCAGAGTTCATGCTTGAGGATAAGCTATTATTCTCCTTCACTTGTAAAACCATTTTATAGAATGTTGGTGCCAAGTCCGTCCAGAATTCTTTGTAGAACTCTGCCGGAAAGCCATCTGGTCCTGGGGCTTTATTGCAAGGCATATATTTTAGAGCTTCGTGGAGCTCTCTTATTGAGAGATGTGAGTCCAGATCCTTGGTCTGTTCAGATTGTAGTTTTGGAAGAGTCATATTACTAAGAAACTGATCTATTTCGCTATCCTGCGGATTATTTTGAGAGGTATATAGAGTTTTATAGAAGTCTCTAAAGGTTTTATTGATTACGTCAGCGTCGTGGGTAACATTCCCTTCTGAGTTTTTAACTGAGACAATTCTTGTTTTGTCTTTGTTGGTCTTTAACTGGTTAGCCAAGAATCTTCCGGATTTATTGCAATGCTCAAAGTTCTCTAAGCGAAGTCTTTGTATCATAAACTGTGTCCGTTTATCAATAATTCCATTTAACTCAAGTTTAGCTTTTCTCAGTTCCTTCAGTATTTCTTCGTTTTGGGAGGCGCTGTGGGTGGTTTCCAGTGATTTGATCCTAAGTTCTAGTTCTGATATCTTTGAGTTTTCTTTTTTTTTCTTATTCGATGAGAAAGATATTATTTTGCCTCGCATTACTGCTTTCCCTGCTTCCCAAAGAGTACAGGCGGACATTCCTGGTAGGTCATTATTTTCCAGATATATAGACCATTCCCTTTTAAAGTAATCGACAAAATCAGTGTCTTTAAGCAATGATGTGTTAAATCTCCAGTTCCTACTCACCGGTGCATTCCTTTTAATCTTTAGCTCAACCGAAACTGGTGCATGATCACTGATGGTGATGGAGTGGATTTTGGTGTCTGATAGATCACACATCAGAGACCTACTGATTAAGAAGTAGTCTATTCTAGAATATGAGCCGTGTACTGGTGAAAAGAAAGTAAATTCTCTCAGAGTGGGATGGTGGGAGCGCCATGCATCACAAAGACCAAAATCACTCATGTACTGTTTAATAATGTCTGTGGACTGCCAGTTCCGCTGACCTCTGGTGTTACTAAGCCTGTCTACTCCTGGGTCAAATGCCATGTTGAAGTCCCCTCCTATGACAAATGCATTATCTGAGTGCTCAGAGAGTGATGTGAAGAAGGAGTGGAAGAATGAGGGGTCGTCAACATTTGGGCCATATAGATTAGCAATGCATAAATTCTTACCTTGGATGGACAGGTTAACTACTATATATCTACCCTCGGAATCTGTAACTGTGCTTTTTACGGCAAAAGTTACCTTCCTATTTATCAAAATAGCTACTCCTCTCTGTCTGGAGTTGTAACCAGCTGTGTATACGTGGGGAAACTGGTCCGTGGTAAGCACATCGCCTGCAGTCAGATGGGTTTCCTGTAATAAAGCGATGTCTGCTTGCAAGTCGTTCAATGCGTTGGCTATTTTTAATCTCTTCTCTCTGGTCCCGGCTCCGTGCACATTCCACGAAACAAACCTCATTGTGGACATGCTACTATTCATTTAACAGTTGGGTGAGTGAATGCCAAAGGATTTGTGATAGCGTTTGCCCCCGGTCGCATGTGTCATACAGGTGCTCGACAAATTTGTGTCTATTACAACCATGTGTGTGCAAGCCAGCAGCGTTGTGTTTCCCAACGGAGTCCCTGCTTGTGCCTTGAACGTTATCCTTAAGTGTGCTGGAATAGAAATGCAGCCAGATGAAATATAATGACAGAAGTGAGAAAGAAAAAAACAAAACAAAATAAAGGAAACAGTGCAGAGGAGTAAAAATATTGAAAAGAAAAACCCAGTGCAAACCCGAACAGAACATAACTTTTACACAGTAGTGCTCTGTGCTGTGGGACTGTGGCAGTGTAACTATTGGGGAGGCAGTATGTCTGTCTTAATAGTTCGCTGTTTACTGTTAGACACCTGTTCATAGGAGTATTGTTTGTGCAGCCTGTGGGGATAACTAAATGAAATTTATAAAGAGTAACTCAAGTTAATATCAATAGGTTGAGTGGATATCACCTGAGTTAGTAGAGCCATGGGGTGGTTTCATGATCGCGGTAGAGCTGCCCGTTGACAAACAATTTGTCCACCGAGACCACGGCACGGGAACCTCCTTCCAGGAATCTCTTCCGGATGGGGAACAGGACCCTGCGTCTGTCCAGGATTTCCCTTGGGAACTGGTCGTTGACACCAAAGTTCGTTCCTTTCAGCTCCCGGCCACGGCTCCTCACCACAAGCTTCTGTTTATGGTGCTCGAACTTTGCCACGATGGGTCTTGGCCTGTGGGCGTCAGGCCTCTTCCCTCCCAGGCGGTGCACACGATGGAAGCTGATGTTATTCACTGTTTCTTCCGGAAGCTTTAGTTGAGTCTTGATAAAGTTTTTAATAGTGTGCTCAGGGTCCTCATCTGGTTGCTCCGGAATCCCAGAGAAAACGAGGTTGTCCCTCATACTGCGGGCCTGGAGGTCAATGATTGTTTCTTTAATCTTTTTGTTTTCCTCAGAGACTCGGCTCATTCCCTCCGTTAGGGATTTCACCGACTCTCTGAGGGTCGCGTTCTCCGTAGCCAGCGCCTGCACCTGTTGCTGGCTGAACTCCAACGACTCCCGCAGTGCTTGGAACTCCTTATGTAGAATTTCTACAAGGGACAACCGGGCGTCGAAACTGGACAATCTAGTGTCTATTGACAGCAAGATTTCCGCCGAATCCCTGGTGGTGGGAGACATCGCCCCAGGTGACTCTTCATTTCGGCTCCGCTTGGCGCTAGCGGAGGCTTTCCCTGTCGTCGCTTGGTTTGTTTTGCCCATCACGATCCGGTCAAAGCACTCGTCAATGAACTCCGTCAGGCTGTCAGTGCTATCTTCAGTGTACTCCAGCTTTCGGGTTAATTATTCCTCCGGAATGTGTATTTCCTAAACCGCGAGCAATAAATCTATATTTACTCAACTGTTTGTTTTGTTTTTAGCTCCGCGCCATGTATGTTGAATCTGCCGACAGTCCCACAGAATCTCGCGATACTACTGCATCTCACGCTCTCTCACGATCTCACGCAGCAGTCTGGTCTCCAATACCCAGAAAAAGAACCTTTAAAATATTCACTTGTGGAAAGTTACCAGAGAGAAATTAAGAAAGTGATTATACGTATATTGATTTCCCTAACAGCAACCACCCGAGCCGCATGTCGCTTGGACTGTCGATACCCATCGGCTGGCTCTGGAGTCCCAGAGGCCAAAAAGGCCCTTCGAGGATTACCGCCACAACAGGCATTGGCCGCCCTGCGACCGCAGCTCTGGGAAGCTCTGGAAAGCCCCCCCCCCCCCCCCCCAACCGGGGCCAACTCACAACCAGGTAGTGGTCAGTGGAAAGCTCCGCCCCCCTCTTCACCCGAGTGTCCAAGACATGTAGCCGCAGCTCAGCCAAAACTACAACAAAGTCGATCATTGAGCTGCGGCCTAGGGAATGCAGGAAAATGACAACCAGAACCATTTAAGTAAGAAATGTTTGTACTTTATTTGAATGATTAATGACCACTCACACTGATTCAGTAACAGAACAAAAAAGAAAAACACAGAATTAACACCTTCAGTCAGGGATAAAAAAACCCCTCATGGGGCAGCAGGAGGCTGTTGGAGGCCCAGCCCCCAGAGGAAACCCAAGCTGACCATCAGAGGTCTGAAGGGCTGCTGGAGACAGGAGGGCGTCTGGATTCAGACTAAATGGAGGAAACGACTCCAGTGAAGCTCTGGGATGGGGCACTATTCAGCTCTGAGCTGTTTGGGGGGATCAGAGCCAGAGGCTCCTGAAATGAAACCACTAAGATACTGAGAGGTGCTGAACACAGTCCAGTTCTGTTTGGGTTCTGCTCTTTGGGGTTTCTACACGCTTAGATGATCTGAGGAGCAGAAACAGGAGGAGGACTCAGAGCTGCTTTGGTTCTCTTTGTTCCACCAGAAGATGCTGCAGTTCCTCTGTAAACAGGGAGGCTTTCGTAATAGATCAAAGCAGCAACAGCAACTAATACTCAGAGGATAGAAACTGTAAGGCCAACGGTCAGACCCAGAGATCTTCCTCCCTCCTTGCCTCCTCTCTCTCCTTGGCTTCTTCATCAGGAGTAGGAGGAGTCTTCTTCCTTTTGCGAAACAAGACAGCAGCCATAACAGCAACGATCCCCAAAACTGATGCAACCAGACCCAGAACCAGGCCAGGAAGTCCCCAACCTACAGGTCCCCCCTCCTTGTGTCCTTGCCTCCTCCGTCTTTGATTCGACTTCTAAGACCTGAAGGTCTCATTCAGGATGAGCTGGATTTCAGGGCTGCTGGCGGCTGTCTGAGTCCCAAGATGTTGAACTGATGTTGACAGTGGAGACATTTCAGTCTCATCCGGCTCTGTTGGTTCTGCTGGTTCTGTTGGAGGCTGACGGGAACACAACTTCAACCATGCAGGTTTTCTGTAATAGATCAAAGCAGCAACAACGAATACACAGAGGAGAGAAACTAAAAGGCCAATGATCAGACCCAGAGATACACCCTCTCCTCCCTCCTTGTCTCCTCTCTCCTTGCCTCCTCCCTCCTTGCCTCCTCTCTCCTCGGTCCCTGCAGGAGAGAAGCAGGTGTGAGTGTCAGCGGTCAGCAGCTGATGACTGAAGAACAACAGAATCCATTTCCTCTCCAAACTGCTGTCCCACATGATCTCCTGCCCTCTGATCACTGCACTCAGACCAGTTGCTTTCTGCAGAGTCTCATCAGAAGCATCTTTACAACACAAACACCTGATCTGAAATGTTTCACTCTACCATCAACAAGCAGGAAGCTGCTGCAGCTCTCACCCACCAACACACTCACCTGGAGGAGGAGGAGAAACTTCCAGATGGATGGTGGAGATTAACTCCAGGCCTGATAGAGGAGAACGCTGATAAACTCTACACTCATATGTTGCTGTATCATTTATCGTCACATTGTTCAGAGTCAGAGACGCGTCTCCATCCTTCATCTGTCTGTCCTGCAGATCCACCCGGTTCCTAAAGGATGGATGCTGGCCTTCTGGCTCCGAGCGACCATCTCTGTAGAAAATAACAACCTTTTGATCCAGATCAGGTCTGATCCACTCCACAACTATGATCTCTGTCTCCTTTCCAGTTTTACATGGCAGAGTGGCGTTCTGTCCAGCTTCAGCTGTGATTCTCTGTCCTGTAGAGAGGAAACAACACAGAGCAGAGAGGTTAAAGAGCTCAGAGTGGAGCTCTGCATCTCCACATCAGAACCAGAGGGAGCACACAGCACAGGCTCATAATTGAAAGATGAATGAGACCAATTATTACCATGAAACAAAGTCTGACTATCTTTTGCTGTATTTACAATAATTGTTTGAAATTAAAAAACTAAATGAGAAACTCCATCAGTAGAAATGAGTGAAAACAGAAGTGAAGGATCAGATGCAGCATGATGGATGATTAACAGGTTAATCCTCCCTGACAGGCTTCCAGCTACTGAAATTAAGTCAATCATAAAAAACTGAACACAACAAGGTCCTCCAGTCCTGTTTGTTACCAATATTTCAGTGGCGGACCGTGAATTTCACAGCTAGGCCTTCAGTAGTGCTCCGTCTGAATCAATTCACCCCTCGATAACTGTTTTATGGTTATAGAAATAATCTTATTATGTAGAAATACAGTAGGGATGTCCCGATCCAGCTTTTTGTATTAAAGTTGAAAGTTATTTAGCCAACTTACTTAGTTGTCAGACTCATGTTGAACAGGGATGTACTCTGATAACTTAATGTTTAGGACACAGACCTGTGGGTTGGGAGATGCTAATGCTAATGCTAATGTGGGATTGAACGTTAAAAAAAAATGGATCTGGAGTCTGGATGGGCATTCTCTCATGCCGGCCGATACGATCCAAATATCAGTTCGGGGCAAGCCTACAATACAGTCTAAAGATCAGGGGTGCACAAGTCTTCTACTACTGCAGCTACAGCTGCGACCGCCCCCCAAAAGAAAATTAAAAACAAAAAAACCCATCAATAATATCCTCATAAACTTGCAATATTATTTAGGAAAAAAACAACATTTTACACACTTACTTTTCTTGAAAAGTCGGTCTTGAAAATGGCCTTGACAGTAACTCTGCCACCAAATCATAAAATAGCTATTACACCAACACAAGAATATGGTTTGCTAGCGTTGGCAGGTACGCTATCTGACTATCCAATCAGCGGGTGTGAATACGGGGACGTTGCCTTTGGCCTTCTAGAAGGCCCTGGTGTCACCAACCTAAAATCTGATTGGTTAAAGCAACAGCGTACTCGACATGTATTTTCTGTGGGGGGGGGGTCCTGCAGAACGGATTGTGAAGGCCTCCTGGCAGACATCTTTGACTTTGACCCTGCCTAGCGACAAATGATGGCTGAAATCTGATTGGTTAAATGCTTTTATATGAAAATGTATGTCTGGAAGCAGCACAACCAGAGGAAACCAATGAAAGGAAGCTGACAGACTATTTAGAGATATTTAATAAGTATTCACGGACAAATTATAATTAACATCAGTCTGTGATTCAGATATTTTCTTAGACCTGCAGAGAAGGCCTTGCAGGCCCTGAAGGCCCACCACTGCAATATTTACAAAACTCTCCAGTTCAAATTTGCATGGAAACTATCCAGATGGAAACTATCCGGTAGTTAACGGGATCGGTCCGTCTCTTGACCGTCTGCTACCAAGTCAGAGCCGCTCCCACATTAACCGAAGCTTTGTTTACATTTTCCTCCAAAAGTCGGTCAGGTTTTGTTGTCGTTCTTCAAGAAGTGATACAGATTAGTTTAATTTCCGTCTCATGTCGTAAACTCACCCTCAGCAGAGAAAACGAAGTCCTTAGCCAGCAAAAAAGTATAAAACAGGAACCTTAAAGCAAACATTCCTGTTCCACTCTGGTCCTGATCCACCTGTTACAGCCCAATTAGTTCAGTCAAACTCTGTGTTGAAGTTGAACTATTACTAGGGACGAATGCGGCCCGGTCCAAAAATGGCTGTCCGAGAAAATGGTGGTAAATGTACAGACGTAGACGCATGCACATGCGCATGCGCATTCACCATCAAGACTTCCTGGATCTGAACAACGCGATATTTCACTGTGATGTCACCGTCTATCTGAGTCCGTCCTATTTAAAACTTCTTTTGAGGCACTTTTAGTTACTTTAACTGTTTTAGGTCACAAATAAAACACACCAGACTCAAATTTAATCTTAATTATTTGTAATTCCACCACTGAGAGGCACCAGATAAAATCAAAGGAGAATTTAAAACTTTAAATAGACCTTTAAACAGAAATCCATCAGTAGAATCTGAACGCTGCTCCATGTTCAGCCCAGACACAGCAGGTTTTGGCCTATCAAAGCCTCTGTTTAAATCCAGGATATTTCCAGCTCCATAAGGATAATTTAGTTTGGGTTCGAGTCCTTTTCCTGCTCTTTCTGCCATCCTGCTTTCCGAGCCAACCAACATTTGGAAAAATAACAATCCAGACAACAGGAACAAGAAGCTGTACACTGAAAACTGCAGCTCAGTTTTCTGTCAGCAGGATTAATAGTAGTGGTCCCAGTGGACTTACCTTCGACGAGGCTCAGAGGTGACAGCTGATGGCTGACTGATGCCACACCTGTAAGGTGAGCTGCTTCCTGTTCGACTGGTTTCATCAGAAACGCCCATCAGCAGCTCTTTTTTCTCCATTCTCCCTTTCTTTAAAAAAGTTTTTTGCTAGACAAGTACAGACAAGCACACCTTGTTATTAGTAAGGTAGTATTATCTTAAATGAGTCTCTGTTCCAGATGACTCATGCAGACCCAGAGAAGTTCTTCATTTTTAACTATGTACTATGTTTTATTTAAACTTTACACTTTCCTGAGAAACTACAGAACAATGAAATAGGATTCTTCCCACTTCAGAAGGGGGGCAGCAAGTCTCAGCACCCGATGAGCTGTGAACAGACTGTAAACAAACACTGACAAACCCAGAAAGGCATCTGGACTGATGGAGGTGTAAACTGGGAGTCTGACACAAGAGGGAAGCAAAGCCCCACAGAGCAAAGTCTGAACAAACACTGAAGACAGGAGCTCTGTTTCCATAACCGTTTCCATGTTTTTATTCACAAAATAGTGAAGGTCTGCTGGTCATATTAAGGTGATACAGCCCTTTAACAACACTCTGATGGAGGCCATTTCAGCTTTTCCGGATCTCTGTAGGAGGACTCTTCAGCGTTTACTTATATTAAACACATCGTTTTGGGGGAAAATATTTGAAAATCCAGGTCAGAAAACACTTTGGACACAGATATCATCGTTTCGTCACATGTCCTGGATCAGGCCTCTGATTGGTCACTTTATTCCTCTCTCACCTCAGAAGTGATGCTCTGTGGTGACGTCATCGTAGTCATCGTCCAATCCCGGCTCAGCCTAGAGGGGCGGGGCCGTTTCCACAGAGACGGGCTGTTTACTTCCTGTAATCAGAGCAGGTGAGAAAGAAAATGAAGAGATCAATAAAAGAAGGAGAGTTCAGGCCTGGAAATCAGTGACTGATTGATTATTTATTGATTGATTGATTGATTGATTGATTGATTGATTGATTGATTGGTTGATTGATTGATTGATTGATTGATTCATCGACTGATTGGTTGATTGATTGATTGATTGATTGATTGGTTGATTGATTGATTGATTGATTGATTGATTGACTGATTGATTGATTGATTGATTGATTGATTGATTGACTGATTGATTGATTGGTTGATTGATTGATTGATTGATTGATTGATTGATTGATTGATTGATTAATTTATTAGTTGATTTGCAAATTTGATTGATTCGCTGATATGTGTATGGATTGATTGATGATTGGTTGATTTATTTATTGATAGATTCACTGACAGATTTATTGAATGTTTGAGTGAGTGATGGACTCATTGATAAGCCTTCAGCTTTGATTTTTCCCCTCGAAGTGTCCCTTAATGCAACATGTGGAGACTCTGAGGACAGAAACAGCTCCTACTTCTACTCTGGCTGATGTCTTCACCCTCTCTAAGGCTGAATCCAGCCACTCTCCAAAGGAAACCCATTTGCATCCATATTTATTACAATTAATTCCAATTCAAAATTAATTAGAGGCCATAAAACTCTGCAACACAAACATTACCAGGACAAAAGGAACTGACGTGGTTTTAACATTAACTTTAACTTTAAAATGGAAGTTGAATTAACATGTAATTGCATGTTCCTTTAACATAGAGAGAAATATTTCTTAAATGGATAATGTAGTGTTGTGAGTTGTTTAACCTCACAGTGTTGAGTTTAAACAACAATTGGTCAATAATAAAACAACTGGTAGAACTGAATTATGCAAGTTGAAAGGATATATTATTGCAGTTTCTTTGACAAGAGAAGGTGAGTTTTGGTGAGTGGATAACATAATACAGTTATTAATTTCAACTCGGAGTGTCCAGTTAAAACAATGAACTTTGGGCTACTTTTAAAACTGACCTCACTAAGTTGAATGAAGGCTTTTCATGAAAATGATTTAACTTGTGTTTTTAAGGTGGCAGTTAAACTTAAAAAATGAAGTTAAACCGCCTTGATAATCTAGTAGCTGTGCGGGGCCGCAGCGTAGCCTAATGGCTAGAGCGGGCGGCCCATGTGCAGAGCCTCTTCTCGCAAGCGGGCGGCCTGGGTTTGATTCCAGCCCATGGCCCTGATTCCACCACTGGAGCTAGACGGAGGCAGGACTCAGCAGGGGTCAGGAAACTCTGTTGAAGAACTGCTCCACACTGATCCAGAATCAGTTCAGAGACTGAAGAGTAGTGATGGTCCATTTGAAGCTGGGGCTCCATGGTTACTGACATGTGGAGGTAGAGACCGCACAGCTTCTACCATTGGGTTGTACATTATTACATGGAATGGTTTTTATCTGTTCAAAAACATCAGACACATTCTGTACAAAGGGGGACCACACCATGGAACATGTTCAACCAAGGAGAGTTTATTCAATTATTAATAAAAGATACTTATGATTTCACTCCAAGAAATACATGTTCAAAGCATCACAACAACATATCAGACACAACTTTCTCAGGATATTAACCATGATAGTTTTGGTCCACCTGCTGTTTGGGATGAGGATAAAGAATGTGTATTATGATTATGACAAAAATACATTAAATATACAGTAGGTATACTTCCTGAACATTATGTGACATGAGGCCTTCAGATATATAACAATTCATGCCTTCTTGCCCTGACACAGCACACACAGCAGAGTGGCGCAGTTGAAGCATACTGGCCCCATAACTCTGAGGTCGATGGATTGAAACCGTTCTCTGCTAGCTGAAACCCCCAAGAAGTTTGCCTGCTGTGGTGATTTTGGTGATTTTGGTTGAGTGGTCAAAGAGGCTCGTTGGTCTAGGAGTATGATTCTCGCTTTGGGTGCGAGAGGTCCCGGGTTCAAATCCCGGACGAGCCCTGCTATTTTCATACAGGCATTATATACATCTGGGTAAAATAAAGGAAACAAAATAAAGGAGGCAGCAGACTTTGAAAAAGACTCAACTTTACTTGATGCTTCATGTATCCAAAACAAAATTGTAGGTTGGATTCTAACCTGAGCGTGCAGATAGCAAAGACTTGGCTGTCCAAGATCTTCATCACTCACCACCCCTTCCATGTTTCAACACATACAGACTTTTCTGTAAGTGGCATTGGTGGTATAGTGGTGGAAATAGCTGCTTCCCAAGCAGCTGACCCGGGTTCGATTCCTGGCCAATGCATCTCAACTTATACATCAACTTGCGATTGCTACCTGTTTCCTTAAAAAGTTATGTTACAGACAGACAGAAAATGCTCAATCCTACTCATTTTCCAGAGAGATAGGAAAGATTGACTGCTATTTCTGACCTCAACACGCTACTGACTAAGACCACTGCGTTTCTTTACATTGTGTCGGGTCTACTTTTCCCCACAAATCCGTATAATGAAAAGCCCAGGGACAACAGCATGACAAAGCTCCAGCTGGAAGCTGGCTCCCTTATGGGGAGCTGAAAGAACTTGTGTATACGTGCTATTTTTAGTTGTTTCTTCCACCCATCAATTATCGTAACCTTTTATGCCCTAATGGGGTCGCGGGGGAACTGGAGCCTATCCCAGTAGCCAATGGGGAGAGGCATGGTTGTAAAAGGTCTTTCACAGAGAGTCAGACCAGCTTCACTTACTTTCAGGAACTACAGGCTGACATCACAAAATCTTTGCTCTCTGCACTGGTTAAAATCCAACAAACAATTTCCTTTGGGATCAATGATGTATCAATTAAAGTTGAGTCGTTTCAAAGTCCTGCCTTCTCCTGCATGTTAGCATTAGATATCCTCCTGTATCTTTGTTCATTATGTCCACTGGAGAGTCATTGGTGGAATCGTGAAAAAAAAAATCTGCATTTTTTTCAGAAACAGGAGCAGATGCTAATCCAAAATCTTAAAAGGAAGTGAACAACCATGTACCTGAGGTGCTGTAGCTTAGCTGGTCAAAGCGTCTGTCTAGTAAACAGGAGATCCTGGGTTCAAATCCCAGCAGTGCCTGAGTATTTCAAATTACTTCTTGTTCTTCACACAGTTAACTCTTGTGCTTTAGCTATAGAACAGTCTGTTGCTCTCTAAACAATTGTGTCCCAGAACTTCAAGGATACTTTCTTTTCAGTTTTTTATTGAAAAGATTACAAAATAATGGTGGCACGACGGTGTGGTGATCAGAAGTGTCGCCTCACAGCAAGAGGGTTCTAACAACTTTCCTAACAGCTGAGTGTTTCACACAGGTAACAGAAAGTCATACCAACTGGTTCATGATTGGATTTGGACCTGGTCAATGTTGTGTCTCCTTTATCCAGCATTCAGTGAAGTACACCTACACTGCTGGCCTGAAACACACATGCAGAGATACTGGCCATGACAAGGACATTCTGCACAGAGAAAACAGTGAAGTCAGAGAGGATGCTAGTAATTGGTGAAATAATCATGTTTTACTCTGACGGTCTCATTGGGAGGCTTTTGGTTCTATCCAACGTACAGCCCCACAAGATTGATCGTCTCTGCAGGCCTGTGTAGCTCAGTTGGTAGAGCATCAGACTTTCTGTGGGATGGCATCGCCCTGGTCTCCAGCACCACTGTGAGAAATCTTGGATTCATCTTTGATCAGGACATATCGTTTAACTCTCACATTAAGCAAATTTCAAGAACCGCCTTCTTTCACCTTCGTAATATCACAAAAATTAGGAGCATCCTGTGTAAAAATGATGCAGAAAAACTAGCCCATGCGTTTGTTACTTCTAGACTTACTGCAACTCCATATTATCAGGCTCTTTAAAAAAGTCCATTAAGACTCATCAGCTGATCCAGAATGCTGCAGCACGTGTTCTGACAGGAACCAGTAAAATAGATCATGTTTCTCCTGTCTTGGCTTCTCTACACTGGCTTCCTGTTAAATCTAGAATAGAATTTAAAATCCTTTTCCTTACGTACAAAGCTATTCATGGTCAGGCCCCATCTTATCTTAAAGACCTCTTAGTACCTTACTGCCCTACAAGAGTAGCTCCCAGAATGAAGGGTTATTGTGGTTCCTAGAGTCTTCAAAAGCAGAATGGGCGCTAGAGTGTTCAGCTATCAGAGTCCTCTTTTGTGGAACCAGGTTCCAGTTTGGGTCCGGGAGGCAGACACCGTCTCTACATTTAAGAGTAGGCCTAAGACTTTCCTTTATGATAGAGCTTATAGTTAAGGTAAGTCCACCCCTAGTTGTGCTGCTATAGGACCAGACTGCCGGGGGATTTCCCATGATGCACCGAGCTGCCCTTTCCTTTCTCTCTCTCCCTCTTGGTGGAACCTCATTCCATTAACGATGTCACTAACTGGACTCTCTCCTTTCCCCGTAGTCGTGTGCTTTCTCATCCCCCTTCTCTCTCCTCTCTCCTCCTATCACTTTCTGCAGATATTCCTGGCTCTGGAGCTGTGGGGTCTGGATCTGTGATTGGGAGTTTCCTGCTGTCCCCGTGTTCCTGCTCTGCTACAATTACAGCCACTGTTCATAGTCTTATTGCTATCATTACTGCTATCATCATCATTAGTATCAATACATTTATTATTTTTCATCCAGTCTGTGTGTTACTGTGTAGGCATAAAGCACAACGGCAGAGCTTTTTCCCTCCCTGTGTCTCCTAGTGCTGCTCTTGGTGGGAACTGTTTTTATTCTGTAAATAACTCTGAGGTGCTCTGTTTGGAAAGCTGGGAGATAACTGTTGTTGTTGTGATGTGGCGCTATATAAATAAAATTGAATTTAATTTAAATCTGTCTCTTTTTGCAAAGACTCAGGTTCTGGGCGATCCTACACAAGTCCCCATCCCAGAGCCAAACAAATTTCGTCACCAGCAGAGATCACTTGCCAGAGTTACTTGAAATGGTGGTAAATACAGAAAGTAAGTGTTTATTGAGTCAAAGTGACAAAACAAATAGCTGACAGTTACATACCCCCGGTTTGGTTTTCATGCACCACCAAATCTCAAAATAAAACATCTCAGATGTGGATAGAAATGAAAAAAATGCATTTGAATTGGGTCATAAAGTAAGAAACTCAAAATAATGAAACCACCTCCAAACTTTTCTGCTTTATGAGAAATCTGTGGAAGAGAAGTTAGTGGTTGAATGGATAATCTGGGCTGGGATCATTTGTGCATTTCTGCCTTTACAGTCATTGATTGGACCTTATTCGCGTTGGTCATGTTGTTGTTGTTTTAAAGATTGAAAGCTTTAAATGCACAATTCAAAGACAGCAGCGTGTTTTTGAGGTTCCATCCTCAGAGTGGACTTTCCAGCAGTTTCTGAGCAACTTTCTCAGCTGATTGGAAGTCTTTTAGCACATTTCCTCAGCCCTGGGGCTCAGCAAGTACGATATGGAGCTGCAGCATTTCAAAGATTAATGAACTTTTTGTGGCCACATTTTAGGTTGTGCAAAAGTCCCCGAGTGGCTGTAGACCCCCAACAGCCTCCATTGTCAGGGTTCAGGCCCCTCACCACAGCTTCAGCTCTCTGGAAAAGTAGGGGTCAACCTCCCTGAGAGCCTCTATCAGAGTTTTGCTGCTTTCATGTCCCTTCCTCATCACAGTATCAATCACATCTGGAGCTTTCTCTGCTCTGGGTTTCTTCTTTGCTGTCTGCATCTCCTCATTAATCATAGCACCGTGCTGAAGGAGTTTATCCAGCAGCTGGTTCAGCACAGAATCAGAGACTCCATTAATGAACTGCACCCGGACAGCAAACAGTCTGTCCTTTGCTTGGAGTCCTGGGATATCCCTCTATGAAGATTCCCGTCTGGGACCTTAAAGAAAAGCAGAGAAATGAAGATCAAAATCATAAGTCAAACAGCTATTGGCTGATGGTTCAAACATGATATCAGGCTGACATGTTTTAGGCCTAAAGACTCTGATCTGACTCTGGGTGGATTAGAGGAGTGACACCAGACAGCTGATCCTGGGAAGTCTGACTCTGAATGGCTTTTCTCCTCAAAAACTGTTCAAACATGCAAACACAAGAGTTTGAGCTTTTGATTCTTTGTGTAATTCCAGAGGTTTTAAGACTAAATCCCAGGTAAAGAATCCTGGAGTTTGATTGGACTCAGACCTGAACTTCAGCAGTTACATCAAAGCTCAAGCTAAGACAGCTTTTTCCCTCTTCAAACTGCCCAATTAGAGCTTTATCCTGTTTGTGATCCTTTCCTCTGCCCTCCACAATCAGAGTCCAGTCCCCACCCATCCTGCTTCCTGCAGGCTGGACTTTTTTGCCATAAAGACTCCACAGCGTGCCATCTAATAACCCCGAGCGGCACAGACTCCCCCCGTTGACACTGGCTGTGGACAGGCACTCACAGCTTTTGTCTCTGGAGGATTTCTTCGTCCAGCCACTAAACCTTTGGAGCAAACACAAGCAAACAGAGAGTAGAGAGTAGAGAGTAGAGAGAGAGAGAGAGAGAGAGAGAGAGAGAGAGGCTGCAGTCAGTCACTGTCCCATCATTCCCTCAGGAATAACCAGTTTATTTTACGAGACCCATCAAAGTTAAGTAGCCAGTGAAGAAGAGTAAAAAACATTTTGTTAAATATTCTGACAGGAAACAACCCAAAATAAAACATTTAAGTCTCTTTGTGTAATTAAAAAAGCTATCTCAGTCATCCATGAGAGCTGAGCATGACCACCAGGGGGCGCCGAGAGCAATTACAGGCAGAGTGGGTCATTTCGCTCCTCATTTCTTTGCATATTTGAGTGATAATTCCTATCATCAAAGGCAAAACACCTTTGTGCAAACTTAAATCTGTGGTCTGTTTTTCTATGTTCATTAACAATATAACAGACAAATAGTCTAGTGTTCCAATATAGTTTCACATCAGAAGGTCAAACCAGTTTCCTGTAGCTGTGAGAGTGATCAATTATCAGAATTATTGGTAAAAAATAGATGGCCGAAAAGTCATTGTGTCCCCTGGAGGCTTAGATTGGTACTGCATCTGCTTGTTTTTCTCAGGTTCATTTGAGTTTTGGACTTATTTTTAGGTTAAAAACCCTTGTGGTTGGTCTGCATACAGCTTCATTCTACCTCCATCCCAGCATTGATTCAAGAGCTGAATAAGATAAACAACTATGATCTTGAACAGTGGAACTGTTTAGGCTTTAAGCTCTGGGGCCTCTGGAAGTAAAAAACCCTGTTGCCACAAGGCTGTTTATGCACACACAAAATAACCAGAGAGGCCTTTTTATCCCTGCATAATTAAAATGTCTGCTCCCTGCAGGCCTGCAGAACACAGAGGGTGTTCAACCTGCAGCCAGAGGCAGGAAAAGACAGCCCAGCTCCCCCTCTGCTGACCTCACAGTCTCCAGTCGACACTCAGGGCTGTCCACCAGAGCACACAAACTCTCCTCAGCTGGTTTTCCCAGGTCGTTTCCACCCAGATCCAGTTCCACTAGGTGGGAGGGGTTTGACTTCAGGGCTGAGACCAGAGACCAGCAGCTGGTCCCAAACAAGCACACCTGCAGTCTGAGGAGAGCAAAGGACAATCTGGGTCCAATCACATTCAGAGTAAAGCCAGTAAAGACAGATGTTGCACACAGATGTGACTGTGGGTCCAATTACATTCAGCTGGTCTCTGACAACCAGCAGAGCTCCAATCTGAATAAAGAACTAAATCTGTGAGCTGAAGACTTTACCATGAAGAGCAGAACAGCTTTCAGCTCATCCTCTGATCTGAACTAACCACTAAAACCTGGAGTCTGACCTCAGAGTCTTCAGTCCACAGAGTGGACTCTGCAGAAAGCTGCTCAGCTCCTTCATCACACACTCAGAGATGGGGTTCCAGCTCAGGTCCAGTTCTGTCAGCTGGGAGGGGTTGGACTTCAGAGCTGAGACCACAGAAGAACAGCTGCTCTCTGACAACCTGCAGTACTCCAACCTGAATAAAGAGTAAAAGATGTGAGCTGAAGCCAACAGGATGCAGGTTACAACAGTCAAACAGAACAAGAGAAAAAGAACTGTCATTCACATTAATGACAACATGCTGCTGCTTCATAAAGACACAGTGACTTCAGCTCTAAACTCTGCCAGCTCCACCAGTGGCTCCATCCACACAAACACATGCTGAGCAGAACAATCATTAGGGGGGGCACTGCCAGCGTTTATAAAGTTAATTTTCAAAATCACAAGTGTTTATTTTCCTTTGAAAGTATAGATGACACACCAGGAAGTGCAAGTGACCTGAAACGAGATGAGGGTTACTTATCAAAATAAAACAGGACGAGACCACACGGAGACAGGAAAAAAAAAAACAGCTAAATAACACTGCTGTGACAAGTTCATTCAAAAAGAAAACTTTGATGCCCCACCCCTTTTCAGAGAAGTAGGAGACTTACCTGATGTCCTTTCCTACATTGACAAAATCAGACAACTCCAAAATTAACCCCCGAGTGACATTCTGGTCCACACTCCACACCAGCTGGTGACTGTAATGCACCACTTTAGTGGTCAACTATTAATAAAATTATTCAAACAACAACCAACAACAAAGGGAACACTAAAAAGGTAGACCATGCTGGTTTGTTGACCAGTGGTGACGTCACCGGCCAAAATTATGATTGTTAATACCTCAGAAACAAAAGCAACACAGACAGCGTTTTTTACAACACAAATCATTTGATCTATTTGCAGGAATGTTTTAAGAGTGTGGGGTGTCAGCTTCACTCAGCTCTCCCCCAGGAATGAGTCCAGAGGCATATGCACGCGTGCACGTGAGTCGATCGACTAAATGATGTTAAATGTCATACAAAACATTAATCACCAGTAGCCCTTAGTCTTCATCAGTGATGAGTCCTCAGACACCATCGCCAAATTAAAAGTCACACAATGCTTTGCTAGCTCTCAGTAGTCCTCCAATCACGGGGACTTTCAATGCGCGCAAAGTGCACACAAGAGCTCCCACTCCCATGAGTGGACTGTTGTCATGAGTGCAGAGGCATGGGCGCTAAAAGTCAGACAGAAACAACAGAGCTGTCTATCCTACAAAACGTGACAAAGGACACACATAAAGCCCCCCAGCTCCACTCAAATAACTCTCTGACTTAGCCCTGTTGACCAGCAGACATCAGAGGAGCTTACTGCATGTGAGAAGGGGACAGAGGGGGGGGGGCAAAACTCCTAAATGGCTTGTGCACAAGTCAGCTGTCACACAGATCTCCTCAACCGGTGCCATGAATAAAGGGAATCACTCTGTTAACCCCAAAGCAACGACTCAATAACACATGAGAGCAGTCTGGTGGCGGAGAGGAGGAACATGAATAATGAGCTCTGTAGGAGCTGAAGGTCAAACATTTTTATTGAATGTGGATTCTTGTAAATAAATGTTTACCTAAAAAACTAATGAAAATCATATTTAAACAAAAATTCTCAGTAAGAATCTTTAAAATGCTTCTGTTAACCATTTAATGTCAGCACAGCTTTGAGCTCATCCTCTGATCTGAACTAACCACTAAAACCTGGAGTCTGACCTCAGAGTCTTCAGTCCACAGAGTGGACTCTGCAGAAAGCTGCTCAGCTCCTTCATCACACACTCAGAGATGGGGTTACTGCTCAGATCCAGTTCTGTCAGATGGGAGGGGTTGGACTTCAGAGCTGAGACCACAGAAGACCAGCTGGTCTCTGACAAACTGCAGCCTTCCAGTCTAAGAAAGAACATATCATGTAGATTCATTTGAATCAAACTACAGCAGAACTTCTACTTATGAAGCCTCAACATACGGATTTTCCAACATATGAAGTAAAATTTGATCAAATTTTCGACTCCACAGCCAAAGTAAATTTTCTACATTTGTCGTCATAGAAAAAAATAATAGAATCTGAAAATTAAATCAAAATAAATAAGTTAAGTTAGTTTAAAGTTCTTGTAGTGAAAGTCAGAGTAACACAGAATAGAATTATCTTTGTCCTGCCTTCATTCATTTGTGATTTTTTTTCTGGGTTTATTGTTTCTCTTCGTTTTATGTACCCAGTTTGAAGTTATTCTCTGTTTCCCTGTCCGTATAAGTCTGGTCTTAGTTGTGTTTTATAGTTCCACTCATGGTTTGACTTCCTCATTTTTGGCCAGTTTTTTTGGCCATGTTAGTTTCTTGTTCCTCTCTCTTAATCCGGGTTTTGCCCAGTTCCCCTCTTCTGGTTATTAGCTCTGTGAGTCTTTATCATCAGGAAACCAGAAAAGCTGACAGAGTGAACTAACCTCAGAGTTTCCAGTCTGCAGTTTGGACTTTCCAGTCCAGCAGAAAGATGTTTCACTCCTGAATCCATCAGCATGTTTCTACTCAGGTCCAGTTCTTTCAGATGGGAGGGGCTGGACTTTAAAGCAGAGGCCACAGCTTCCCAGTCACTCTCTGACAGTCCACAGTCTGCAAGTCTGTGATAGAAAACATGGAAAGGAAGCCAGAATCACATCAGCTGATCCACACTGGAAACACAGAGTCAGCACAAACTGTAACTAAACATCTGGATGGAAAGAAAGGGATGTGAGATGAATATGATCTGATCAACATTGTTCTTAATCTGAGGTTCATCTCATCTCACTTTGATGAAACACAGTAATTCTCCCCAGCCTCTCAGACCTGAGCACTTTAAATGGTTTTAGTCATGATTTGATGTAATTTAGCAGATAAACAGAGAAACATGCTGTTCCTTTCAGACTGAAGAAATCTCCAGTCTGTCAGTCAGATCTGATAACAGGTCAGAATGAAAATGTCTTCTTCAGAAAACTCCTTTGTTTATCTGTTTTTAACTAAAAGTCTGTTTACAGTTGGAGAGATGATTTCTTTAAAAAAACAGTACTGTGAATTGTGACTGTTCACATACTAAAAGAAAAAATCCACTCAGTTTCTCAGACCTCCATTCATATCTGATCCCTGATTACCTAAAGCCCTGTCTCATTGGTGGCGTGTCAGGATCCAGAGTTTTTTCTCTTGGATTTTTTTTTAATGTTGAGATCACTGATTTTCATTAAAGGTTTTGAGATAGTCAATAGTCTACAGCTTTAAATCAGCACGTGATGAGTTTCCTCTTCCAGTCTGAAGCACACAGAAAGCTAACTGAAGCAGAACCTGTCTCCAGCTCCTCCTCTATCAGAGCTTGTGGCTGCAGCAGGACTCTTCCCACCTGAGTTTGTGTGGATCCTTCAGAGCAGCCATCAGCAGCTTCACACCTGAATCTCCTGGACGGTTGGAGGTCAGGTCCAGCTCTTTCAGATGGGAGGGGTTGGAGGCCACAGCTGAGGCCAGAGAAGAACAGCCTTCCTCTGAGATCCCACAGCTGGACAGGCTGCAGACACACAGAACAACACAGAAACTCTGAGAGCTGCTCTGAGACTGAAGCTGGATGTTATCACATGTTGA